AACCATGGCCATGACTTAAAAGATAAGACTTTTGTTGCACACAGACTATTTGATGATGACACGATGCAGTTCCAAAGATAAGTAAGTACTTTTCATTCTAGAATCCATAAGAGTTTCCCCATGTAAAAGCCTTAGGGCATGAGAATCCCGCCCCCACCCCAGCATGCACCCTTGTCTCTCAATTCACAGGACATCCTGTCTCCAACTGCTCTGACCTACCATCCTGTCTACTTCCCTGCTCATTTTTACCACCACCCTTCTATCCTCAAGGGCCTTAACTGTCTTCTATGCTTGTTATGCAATGCTCTGCAAAATACTTTTGAACAGTTACAAGAAAGTATCCCTAACCAATCCCACCCAGATATGGTTATTTCTTTCCTTTGTATCCTCCAAGACAAGGCTCTATTTGCATTGTATTCTAAAGTTTTTTTTTCTCTCCAGTTATATTTATCAGTTTGGGGTTGTTGTTGGGAAGTGGGGTCTAACCAAGACACCATCACAAGAAAAGAGCTATTCTGAGACAAAGTAATGAGTCTTTCCCTAACTTGCTGGCTCCCTGGAGTGGATTACCCAGGTATTTCCATTATTGTTATGATGAAAGCCATCCTCCACCTTTCATTCAATGGCGGGGGTAAGGGGAAGAGATCAACCGAAGGACTTGTATACATGTATATAAGCCATACCAATGGACATGGACAACAGGGGGATGGGAGCATGAGTGTGTGTGTGGGGGAGGTTGGGGGTTAATGGGGGGGATGAGGACACATTTGTAATACCTTAACTAATAATAAAAAAAATAAAATAAAATAAAATACAAAAATAAAAAATAAAAAAAATAAAATAAAATACAAAAATAAAAAATAAAAAAAAAATTAAAAAAAAAATAAATAAAGCTCTGAGATTTCTCATTTCCTCCAGCTCTGAGCTTTTGATGCCTCTGGTCCCCAGATGACAACAGAGAAGTGGGGTCCAGAAGGAACTTCCATCTGTTCTGTATGGTCTCTACCCTGGGGCTAGAATACAAGAAAACAGTTGCTATAGAGGCAACATCCTTCAAATTCTCAAGTCTATAATTCCAGCAGGGGAGACAAGACCTAGGCAGTTTGTGCCTCTAACCAAACTGCCATCGTCTCCGTCTCATAGAGCAACTTGGAAAATTCCAAATAGCATATCTGCTTGTCTGTGACATTCCATTTTCTCCAGAGCCCTGGGATAAGGAAAAATATTAGAAGACACCAAAATAGATCACATGGAGTTCCTTAGGGTGTCTAGGCTCCTTCCCCTGACCTTGAGTAATGGCCATGCAGATCTTCACTTAAATATCTTCTCTTCTTGGGCCCTTTTCCACTCATCCCTTCTAATGCAATACATGGACAATTTCACTAACTCTTTTAGACTGTATTTTTCTTTCTATTGGCTCTCATCAATATCTCAAATCAAGTTACACATTTACTTGATTATTCATTTATCATCAAAATCCCACATTAGAAAGAAGTACCTTGAAGGCAAGTTCTTTTTCTTGTATCACCACCAGTGATAAAAAGAGAGTCTGCCAATATCTCATATGACTGTCAGCTGATTTCTCAACAGAAACTATGCAGGCCAGAATGGAGTGGCAAAGATATTCAAAGTGATGACCAGCAAGAACCTACAACCAAAATTACTCTACTCAGCAAAGCTATCATTTAGAATTAAAGGTCAGATAAACAGCTTCACAGGTAACAAGCTAAAGGAGTTCATCACCGCCAAACCAGTATTATATGAAATGCTGAAGGGTATTCTTTAAGAAGAGGAAGAAGAAGAAAAAGATAAAGATAAAAAATATGAACAACAAAGTGGCAACAAATACATATCTATCAACAAGTGAATCTAAAAATCAAAGAATAAAAAATCTGATGAACAGAATAAACTGGTGAATGGGATAGAATCAGGGGCATGGAAATGGAACAAACTGACAATTCTCAGAGGGAAAGGTGTGTGTTGGGGGGAGAGATTAGGCAAAGATCTTATATGCATGTATGCATTACCTATGGACACAGATAATATGGTGGTGAGGACCTGGGGCAGGGTGGGAACCAGGTGGAGAGGAGCTATGAGGGGAAAAAAGATGGGCATAATAACTGTAAAAATCTCAAAAATAAAGATTTTTTAAAAAGAAAATAAAACTTGAAATCAAACCAGAAAAGAAGATCTAGAGAGCATAAGACATAAGGAAAAATCATTGTTCAGTTTATGATATCTGTAGGGGCATGTGACAGGAAAAAAGAGAGGGTGAAAGTTCAAGGAAATTTTTTAAGTAGGCAATTCTTTATGAAAGAAAAAACAAATGGAGAATTCGAGCAATACCTGTATAAGTATATTGTTTATAAATATGTACCAGCAGAAGTAGTTGAACATAGCTGCCTCTGATTATGGATTATCACTGGTTATCACTATATGAATCATTTAGAATTATTTGATATTTTTTCTTTTTTATTGTGGTAAAAAATGCTTAACATAAAATTTACCATTTTAACAATTTTAAGTGTACAGTTCTGTGGCATTAAGTACATTCACATTGTTGAATAACCATCATCACTATCCATCTCCAGAACATTTTAATCATCCCAAGCTGACACTCTGTACCTATTACTTAATAACTCCCATTGTCCCCTTCCTCACACCCTTGATACTCATCTTTTTACTTTCTGTCTCTATTCTAGTTACCACATATAAGCGGAATCATGCAATAGCCATCCTTATGCATCTGTCTTATTTTACTTAGCATAATGTTTACGATATTCATCCATGTTGTAGCATGTATCAGAATTTTATCACTTTTTAAGCCTGAATAATATTCCATCGTAAGCATATACAACATTTTGTTTATACATTCATCTGTCAAGAGACTTTTGGGTTATTTCCACTTTTTGACAATTGTGAATAATGCTGTTATGATTGTGGATAATGCTGTTCTCTTTTATTACAAAGTCTTAAGAGTTATTAATAGTAAATTATATAAATACGTGGGTATAAAAGTAAGTGTTCAGGTATGGCATATGAATGGGAAAATCCCCAGGGTTGGGTTGACTGCTCTGATTCAGAGCTTACAGTTGCTAACCACTTGTGGTGTAGCTGAGTGGGGCACATGACATCAGGCACAGTGTTCAAAAACAATATGGGCTCTTAGGATGGCAAGGACAGAGGCTGAGGGTATAACGGATGAGGATTCTAACCTACTAGGATGACCTGATAAAGGTACAGGACTTCTTAGGAGTTGCAAAGCTATGAGACAACTTGGTACACTGGTATCATGACAATAGAAAGATAGAAAATGTGAAAGTAAAGCCACAAGTACATGCTGATGAGAGAATCAGAAGCAAGCCTAATGTCACAGAGGAAAGACAAATATGCCTTCATTTACAATGAGACATAGATTACAGACATGAGAGACAGAGGAAAGATTGACCTTCTACCATTAAAGAGCCCCTACTCAACACAATGGTCAGGCAGAAAATTTACAATCATACATTAATTGAGAGAGTATATTCCTTGGGGCTTTCACTATAGATTCAGCAGTGTCCCAATCAATATCCCAGCAAGCTTTGTTGTAGATATATACAAAATGATTCCAAAATTTACATGGAAAGAGAATGGTAATAGAATAACCAAAACAGTTTTGAAAAAGAAGAGTCTTTTTTTATATTATTTATTTATATCACAAATTGATCTAACCACATGTATACATATATTCACCTAAATATGATGCATATTGATATCTCCAACACTACTAGTAATCTACTACTAGATGCCTTATTCTAGCTTTCTCTCCTTGCTCATCTGTAACTTTCCTATCCACGGTGAAAGACCCAGGCCCTACCAGCTGCCATCCTTTATTTATTTGCTCAGCTGTAGTGTACACATCCAGCAATTTCAGATTTGTTAACTCATCCCCTCAGTGAGAAACGACTTTACTGACAAGAGTACTATGATTGGGCATGGTTCCTTTTCCTAACTTAGTCTTGTAGACTCCAGTCTAAACACTGCTTTTCAAAGTCACTTCCCTTTTTACTCACCACCTCGGTGAGGTAATCTCATATATTTATAATGTTGGGAAGGCTGTCTTATGTGCACAGTCTTTTGTCACCTACTTGGAAACATAAAAATGGCAGAAATATTGATAGACAAGAGTGGTGCAACAGAAACTGGGATGGAACAATATGGAAACTGAGACATACAAATTATGGAGCTCAGTGTAGAGCTGGAAGACAGTTTGGTAAACCTGGTCCTTGTGAGGGAGGGGAGGGGAGAAAGGAATATAGAAATGTAGTTAACAGAGAAAGGAGATGAAATGCTCCATGTCAGGGTGGAACAATGTGAGAGGCTGCCTGTTTTCTGCCCTCCATGCAACCTCCCTCAGCCAGGGGCATAGTAAGTTCAACTCTCCCTTGTTACTTTAGCACCAAGAATACAGCCCCACTGCCCTTCCACATTTGGGGCTAGCATGATGATATGAGTGATGCCGGGCAAGAAAATGTCTCTTTCAAGACCTTCCCTCCACACCCTGAAGTGTCTGTATCATCATCCAGCCCTGAGGTTAGTAAGAGGTCAGGGCTGTGGAGTGAGTTCATTCTCACTACTGCCAGTCAAGAAAATCTACAGGGAGGTACTGTCACTGTTGGACCTTGGGGCAGAAACCTCAAGAAATGGTTGAAGCCTGAGGCTGGACTTGGGATCATGCAGAGAAGTAAAAGAGGGACCTTTAGGCAGTGAGATCATGAAATCATAGGACAATATAGGCGAAGATGACTCCAGCCCTTAGAATCAAACATTTAGGTCAGCTGACAGAAAATGAAGTATCCTTTTCCTTGCATTTTCCAGTCAAAGATCTGATTGTTCTAAAAAAAATCACACACATTTTGTATATCTACATTTGTCAAATTTATATTGTAAGACATATAACTACAGAAGTATAGATAAATGTATTCATTGCACTTAAAAGTTAATAAAGTGAACTCACATATAGGAACCATCCAGTTACAAAATGGAACACTTCCAGTTTCTTAAAATTCCCTTGTAGATTACAAACTATTTGTTGATGAAAAGGATCATTTCAGATTTGAATTAGGGCTTTCAGATTACTCGGTTCCATGATGATGAGTCCATGATTGTCTTTAGGACAGAACTAACCCTTGAGGAGGTGACAGCAGCGTTTCATGACATCTCGAAAGGCCTCTATGAATTTGTCATTCCGGAGGGTGAAGATAAATGGGTTCAGAAAAGGAGTCACTACTAAAACCATCACTGATGCTACCCTGTTGTATTCAGCTGCCTGTGTTTGCTTGGGTTTCACATAGAGGAACAGGCAGGTGCCATAGCCGATCACAACAACGGTGAAGTGGGAGGCACATGTGGAGAAGGCTTTCCTCCGGCCAGAGGCTGAGGGGATCTTGAGGATGGTGGAGATGATGTAAGTGTAGGAGACAATTGTAGGGATCAAAGAACCAACAATAATGAAGACAGCCATTAAAAAAAGAATAAGCTCTGTGAAAAGGCTGTCATCACAGGATAGTCTGAGAAGTTGCCCTCGGTCACAATAAAAATGGTCTAACACATTCGATTTGCAGAAGGTCAACTGAAACGTGGCATAAACTGGCCAGATTTGAAAAAGGAACCCAAACACCCATGACATAATTACCACCCAGATGCAGGTGTGGCTGTTCATAATGCTGCTGTATCTCAAAGGGTTACACACAGCCACATAACGGTCCACAGCCATCACTCCCAGTAATACCAACTCCGACGTGCCCAAAGAAAGGTACAAGTATAGTTGTGCACCACAGGCAGTCAAAGATATAGCCTGCATCCCAGGGAGCAACAAGCCCCAGAGCATCAAGGGAACGGCAACAGATGTGATCAGGATCTCTAGGACAGAGAGGTGGCCAAGGAAAAAATACATGGGGGACTGCAGACGTTTATCAACACAGACAGTCACAATGATGACTATGTTTCCCATTAATGTCACTGAATAGAGAAAGAGGAAGACAGCAAAGAGGATATTGTGTTGTTCTTTGGAGCCATAGAAACCAAGGAGATAAAAATCAATGGCACTAGAGTAATTCTTCAACATTTAGTCCTGTGTTGTTGCTCTTTATGAAATCTAGAGAAAAAGAGAGAGAAAACATGTTCACAATTTCAAAAGACTTCAGAAAACATTTCCTCTGCTCTTAGGCTCCCCATCATGATCAAGTGGGCTCATTTCCTACTATTCTTTGTATAAGATTGATGCTAAATGTTTTATGAGAAACATATAATATATGAAGACAGATGTATATGTCCAAGAAGATGAACAAAATCACCAATACCATATCCCAGGCATAAAAACCCACCCACCCCAATATGCACCCTGTCCCTTAATTCACTAGACATCCTACCTCCAACTCTGCTCTAACCTCCCATCTGTCTAGTTCCCTGAGCATAGGTGCTCATTTTTACCACCATTCCTTCCATCCTGAATGCCCTAAGTCACCCTTCTGTACCTGATATGTCCATGCCCTGCCAAACTGCTGCATCTCAGCAGTTACAAGGAAGTCTTCCTAGCCAATCCCACCAGACTTGATTACTTCTTTCCTGTGTTTCCTTTAAATGTAGGCTCCATTTGCCTTCTGTTCACCTAATGTTTTCACTGCACTCTTCTTTATCATCATTTCTGCCTGTTAGTAGGGCTGCTGGCAGGGAGGTGGGTTCTACTCAGGACATTATCGTAAGAATTATTTTGAGACACAGTATTGAGTCTTGCCCTGACTTCTGGGGAGCTGACTCCCTGGAATGGATTATCCACTTCTTTCTCCTTATTCTTATGGTAAAAAGCCATCCTTCACCTCTCACTTCAGTGAACGTGTCTCGTCCAAGTAGGAAGAGTATCACCAGCTCCCAGTTGGTGACCTCTAGCTCTGAGATTATGATCCCTCTTGCCACCAGATGACAGAGGGAGTCGGGGTCCAGAGGAGTGCAGAGGAGGCTTGGACTTTGATCCCCAACTCCCATCTGTCCAGCATGCCCTCCATCCTGGGAGCAGGAGACAAGAAAGCAGCTAGAGTTTAGAGGCAACATACTCTGACTTCACCTGGTCTCAAATCTCTAGTTCCGGCAAGGAGACAGGCTTACTGTCCTAGGCAAACTGTCCTGATCACCAACCAGGCATGATCTGAGTCCCACAGAGAAGCTTGGAAAAGTCTCCAGAGAATATCTGCTCATCCATTTTCGTCAAAGTCCTACAAATGAGGGAAAGTGTCGAAAAACACCAAATGAATCGCACTGACTTGGGATCTCTGGGCTCCTTCCCTCACCACACACAGGTCACTGATCGAATGTCTCCAGTCCATGGGCACTTCCCCAGGCATCCTCTCTAAAACAGCACATGCACTTACTCATATTGGATCGCTCATGAGGCTGTATTTTCTGCTCATTGGTTTTCATCAACAGCTGAAATTAAAGTACCTTAAGGGAGTTTCTTTGTCTTTCTTATTCACTGTCACATCTCCAGTGCCAAGAACAGAGTATGCACTCTTTTCATGTTTATTCAATAAATAAATCAATGAATGAATCATAAACAAGTCAATGGATAAACAAAGGGTATCCATCCTGACCTGCTTTCTCTCCTGTTAGAGGATAGGGTGCTCTTTTCACTCCTCACTAAGGCATTGTCCGGTCAATCTGTGGACCCTGCCTGGAAATCACTTACAAAATGGCAGACATGAAAGAAAAAGGGAGGAGGGAGAGAGCAGGGCACTGAGTGGTGGCAGAGCGCTGTGTTCATTAGCAGCACTGAGAAGGGCAGAGTCTGCCCTCTGCTGTGGAGAAGGAACCTGATATACATCATCCACCCTGCAGCTCCTTTAGTCCATGCCTCACGCTCTAGGTGTCCTTGCGCTGAACAATAACAAATCCAAGAACTGCCCATCCTGAGCCTCTCCTACTCTGACTTTCATGGAGAGGAACCCTTGGAAGACACTCACCTCCAGAGAAGGGGACTTGCCTGGAAAGGTGCATGGCTCTCCAGGGATCAGCCCAGGCTACCTGCTGCCTGGCTACTGCCGAGCTTGCTCTGTGGGCCAGAACAGCTCCTACTGTCTTCACTTGTGGCGGGGGCGGGCGGGGGGGTAGAGGGGGGGACAGTGCTGTGGGGAACCCAGTTGTCTCCCTCTGTCTCTCTCCCTCCTGCTTTCCTTCTCTCTGTCCCCAAGGAGAGTTACTCACTGAGGAACTAAATTTGTCAAGTTCAGAGAAACCCTAGGGATGCCGTCGAGGGAAAGCCAGAGAAACTTTCACTCCTCCCTCCCGAGGCTAATCAAACTTTAGAAGGAGGAAAAGTTTCTGTAACGGGCAAATTTGACGTCTCCCAGCCAGGAGTTTCTCAGTGCCCAGGCTGCCTTCCTCCTGGACCCCAATCCTGGTTATCAGTTAACAGTCCAGGTGGTAAATGGCCAGCCCCCTGCTGCCTCGTGTGACTCTCCCTGATGCCAATTAGCCCTGCAGAGCCTACTGGACTCTCAAGCAGAAGACACCAAAGCACACATCCAAAACCCAGAGGCCACCAATACCCTCTGTCAAAAAGTTTTTCAGCTCATCTTTCCCAGAGATCTGCTCTCCATCTACCAGATACTCTCTGACCATAGTTATGGGAAACCTGGTAAGAGAAATAGAGGATCTGCCACCCAAACCAACCTCTCAAGCAGCTCAGGCCCCTGCCTATTCCAGACTCTCCAACAAGCATGCATTCCAGCTGCGGCTGTTCAGCCATATTTTCCCATCTAGGTCTTCAGATGCAACCCGGGCATCTTCCTGAGCTGCTTGAATTGAGAGGAAAAGGCTGAAGAACCCACATACTGAACTGACCCCAAAAAGTAGGATATAAAAATGAGGGTGGCTGGGGTGCTAGATAAAATAGAAAAATAACATTTAAAATATTTGCATTTAGAAAACAATTTCCATTTTATATAGTATTAGCACAATTCGTGTTAAAAACTAAAATTGTATAGAGGAATATAAAACAAAATGCAAACGTCCTTCTCACTAATGCCTGATTTTCCCGATCTGTCTCCAACAGGTACACTAACAGGACTTTCTATTGTGTCCATACAGAAGTTTTCTGTGCATACACAACATATCTCGAAATAATCTTTACTTGCAATTTTAGTAGAGATATTGTCCTGTTACTTTCTTTTTGTTATATGTATATGTGTGTGTGCATTAAACCTTCCCATGTGAGCACCCATATATATCTCACATTTCAAGTTATTGTTAAATAAATATTCACCTTATGAAAAAGCCATCATTTGCTTAATGAGTAGCCTGCTGATAAACATTGTTTTTCACAGCATAAATGATGCTGCAATAAATATCTGCACATGTAAGCCTGTGCATTTGTATAGTTATATCTTCCTATTAAATTTATTCACTGTTACCAAATTCTCCTCTGAAAAGTTGTGTCAATTTATAATCTCTTGAAAGGAGATTATATTGGGACCATCCCCCTAGCCTTCTGCAGGGATTTGCAGAAAATTTCCTTTCAATGCTAACCCTGTCCAGATCCCAGAATGCCACTAACATATCAGGAGTCAGTGAGTACACTGTGAAGTAAGGAAATGACTCGGAGGTCCTCATCCCCATGGGAACTGTGCTGCCAGCTGCCCAGGCCTCCTCTGTCCTAGCATCTGCCTGGGAGCCTCTCAGCAGCTGTGTTGGGTCATGTGATGACTGTTTGAGAAATGTGAAGCCAGGCTGATGGCAAATGAGGAATCCAAAGAGGATGGGCTCTTCCTCTCAGAATCCTTATTATAGAACCAACTTCCCTAATTCAAGGTATGGTTCAGTTTATCTAATGTCCTACTACTGTTGTCTAAGGCCACAGTCGCCAGTAGACAATTCAGAAGTAGGATTGCCGGAAACCAATTCCGGCATGACAGCAGGGCTGCATCTGGGAATGGCTGAGGGCATTTCCCCAAACCTGAAAAGGGATTATTGCTTGGCTGCCAGACAGCTCAGGGCATCTTAATCTACATGTTATTGCCTCCTACTGGCCAAACACCTGAACAGCCGTAGGCTAATTTCCCCATTCTGACAATGCTTGTGTATACCCTTTGAAGTGTATATCTCTGCCTCACCTCAGGACAATTTGTGTTAATAAAAAGCAGGGGGTCCTGAGACAAGGAGACCTTAGACCTGAGACCTTAGAACTTAGATCTTAGTTTCCTTTAAACTAGGCTCCTCTGACCCCCAAATGCCTTTCAAAATTATGCTTCGTCTCTAGACTCTTATTTAATCTACGCACAGCCTTCTCCAGATTGCTGAACCCTTCTTGATGCTGGAACAGGAACCCCGGCATAGGATGGGGTGTAAACTAGTAAAACCCATTGGAAAAAGTTCATACATTTCTTTAAAGCTAAGTATATACCCCTACCCTATGATCCAGCAATTCTACTCCCAGGTATTTACCTAAGAAAAATAAAAGCATATGTCTTCATCGCACAGACTGTCAAACTACAGCGGGAAGACTGGGGAGGGTTGAGGGGCGGGAAGAGGGGGTAAGAGATCAACCAAAGGACTTGGATGCATGCATATAAGCATAACCAATGGACATAAGACACTGGGGGGTAGGGGAGGCCGGGGGAATGTCAAGGGGAGAAAAAAAAAAGGAGACCCATGTAATACTCTTTGTAATACTTTAAGCAATAAAAAAAAGAAACTGAATAAATAAATTTAAAAAAGGAAAAAAAAAAGCATATGTCTTCACAAAGACTTCTATTAGAATGTTCATAGCAATTTAATTCATTCTAGCAATGGGCACCAAACAAATATCTATCAACGAGAGAATGATACGGTCAGGCCTCATTAATCACGGATCCCATATTTGTGTATTCATCTGCTCGTTAAAATTTAATTGTATCTCCATTTGCCACGCTTTTGACATGGGCATGGATGCTCTGAGCAGTAAAAATGTGAGCATAGGATGCATGTGTTCCACCTGAGGCTGAAGAAGGCTAACCTGCCTGCTTGTTTCAGCTCTCAACTGTCAACAAGCATCTTTTTAGCTATCTAATCAGCACCATGTTTTTGGCATTTTTGCGCTTTTTGTTGGTGATTTTGCCCTT